CCCGACTTCAAATTCCTCTGCGCACACGTGCGCACGAGCTCCCTCCTTCCCCCGCCTCCCCCCTCCTCCCATGCCCCCTTCCCGATTGGCCGCCAGCTCCGCGCACGTGCACGCCGGGGCGCTGGCGGGAGAGGCACATCTGGTAGAAGGTAACGCAGGTGTCCTACGATGAGCCCAACGAGATCAACAATCTCGTGTGGAGAAAAAGGGCAAAAGCTCATTTGATGTTGATTTCCAGTACGAATACAAACTCTACAACCCTTTTAAAAATATATATGTAAAAAAAAAAAAAAAAAAAAAAAATTGTGAGAGCGTGGCCTATCGACCCTCAAGCGTTTCAGGACTAGCAGCTAGAGATGTCAGGGATAACTGGCTTGTGGCAATCGAACGTTCACAGCGACGCCACTGGTTACCGCCATCTTCACGGGCAATCATCATCATCATCATCATCATCATCATCATCATCATCATCATCATCGCCGCCATTGTCGACATCATCATTGCCACGACCTCTCACCTTTATTGCACGCATTCGATCCAGCGACCTCGTCGGTCCACCGGGGGAGCGATCGAGAAGACCCCTTAGGGGTTGATTGAAGACCTTCCTCGACTAGGAGGAAGGACCTTGATTGCTCCCGGCCGACCGGGAGTGTGGTATCGTCAATCTATCTCCCTCTTACTAATCCCCTCCCTTCCTCTCGCCGATCTCTCTCAAAGATCTCATCTTTTTCCTCTTCTTTTATCTCCTCTCCAACCCCCCTTCTCTTCTCCACCCTCCCACCTAATTGGTCGCATCATCCAAAATTTCTACTACGTGTGACACATATCTTTCCTCTTTGTGCTTGCCTGACAATGTCGTCCACTCTGCCGTTCAGAATTTCAATCTAATTCCAGAGGATTAATCTTCATCTTCTTTTCTCCCAACACCGTGATCGGAATTGATTTCGGCAGTCTTGTTCAAAAGTTACGCAAATTTCTATAGTTTCTTGATTCTTTTCGTTATTTAATTTCAAAATTCAATTTTATTTCAGAAATTCGTGAAATAAAATTTGGAATTTACTAAATTCAATTCTTTTGATGTCGAATTTCCATTTATTTTGTATCCCCTGTAAAATTCCGAAATTCTTCTATTGTTTCTGAAATTCCTGTTGAGATTCTTTTGAAATTTCTTTGAAATTCATCTTAATCTTGTAACAAGTTGACAAATTTTGTTGACTTGATCTACATAATCCTGGAATTTCTCTCAACCTACTTTACGTGGCTATACTAATTCTTTATGAAATTTCATTGTAAATTCTTAATTTACGAATTAACTTTCTACTTTTCTTTCAAATTCCCTTTAAAATTCTTTTAATTCCGGAAATACGTCAAGGAATTTTTCATTTTACTTCAAAATTTTCCTCTCAACTCATCTCTACCTCTTCCATCATCCCCCTGAACTTTTGGAAATTTTTACGAATATTTTTGAAATTTGTTGAATTTTGCTTCAATTTCCTTAAAAATTCCGAGTTTACGCCCTGTTACGATCCTGGCCAATTTTGAAGTCCACAATCATCAGAAAGTACAATGTTGTCCAATTGCGAAAAGAAATGAATGAACTTGAGCCCAATGTCGTCCAATTGCAAAACAAATGAAAGACTTGAGGGGAAAGAGAGGGAAAGAAGAAGAAGAAGAATTGAGAAAGAAGAAAGAGATGATGTACTCCAGCATAGACCAAAGACAAAGCTCTTCTTCTTCGCTCAACAAACTCCTCCTCTTTATCTCCTCCTCTCTTATTCAAACAATAATAAACAATCATAATGTTGAGCAGCTGAACCAGAATCAATGTCCGAATCCCACTTCTACTGCAGGCACAAGATGAGGTCCACCATAGCCATGGAAACCCTTCTTCTTCCTCTACATACAGGCCGAGGCTATGGTGGACTACTGAGGATTCAGCCTCCTGTCCGAAGGACCACTCAAAGCAGCTATGCCGCTGCTCCACTTCAAGGTCAACACCATGCAGCTATGCCGTTGCTCACTCAGCCACCATGCCTGACTCTGTCCCGAGCTTCCTTGATGCGGCACTACCCCCACTGGGGCCTTCCTGATACAACGCCTAGCAAGGAGATGAAGATGGTGTCTACCATAGCCGGTAAGTACGTCGCCACTCTCCTCCTTGGTCCCCTTCTCCCTCCTCTTCCTACCGGTAGAGCTCCACCATAGCCAAGGTGGAAGCTCCCGGCTTCTCCCTCCCAGCAGCGCTGTAGTGCCCAGCGCTACTCCAGCCAGCGCTCCAGCAGCGTGACGCCCAACTCGCACACTGAAGAATGGGGCCGGGCTCTTTGCCCTGCCTCTTGATATAGCGACCTACTTGCCTCCTGGGCGGTGACTTCCAGGCCGCTCGGCCTCTCCAAGCAACCGGTACCTCCTCCGTTTCGGAGGGAAACATCATTGCAGACCCTGATATTACCCGTACAGGCTCTAGACTCAGACTGGTTGGACTGGTA